TTTTTTTTTTTTTTTTTTGGTTAATCAGCTTGTCCTGCAGTGTTTGTGTATCTAATGTGTGGCAGAGAAAAAAAAAAGCACCCTGACTTAAGTCACAAATCAAAAGAAAACAAAAGAACCCCCAGCCCAGCCATTTCTCAACAGGCCCAACTACAGGCAGAAAACCAAAGTGTCAACAGGAAACAGTGTGGTAGTAATGTGCGCAGAGTGCAGGAAGTGAGAATTCACACCCGCAGCTGGGGGAAGCATAAACAGGAACAACTTTTTGGAAGGTTCTTGGCCAATATGCTCTAAAAGCTTTGAGTCACTTTCAAGAATTTATCTTAAATAATCAGAAACATGGTCAAAGACCATATTCAATATACTATTTGTAAGTGAGAAATCTGAAGCCACTGAAATACAACTAAAATGATATATGGATGGTACTTCTGGGAGATGGTGAGAATTATGTGTTTTATTTTTTTGTTAATTTTTTAGTTTTCTTTCTAAAATCTGTAAAATGATTTTACAGATATAAAACATTGTAAAACTATTTTAAAAGAGCCACCCCATTAGAAGCATAGTTTTGATCTACCTCTCTACTTACTGTTCAACCGGTAGAGGTTCCTTGGCTGCTTCTGCGAGCTCTTTCTGCAGCCGGGCTTGCCGCCGCCTATTAAGAAAAACCCACCATTTATGTCTATTCAGGGAAGCACGGGGTTTGGACTGCCAATAAAATACTCATCCTAATAACACATTTGAATATTCAGTGCATTTACAACAACTACCCTGGGCAAAGACATCCACAGTTCCAGACCCAAACTGGTAATAAGAGTAAGGCTCCCATGGCTCGGCGCCTTAGGGCACCAGCCACATACAGCGGAGCTGGCAGGTTTGAACGCAGCCTGGGCCTGCCAAACGACAACTACAACCAAAAATAGCCAGGCACCTGTAGTCCCAGCTCCTTGGGAAGCTGAGGCAAGAGAATCGCTTAAGCTCAAGAGTTTGAGGTTGCTGTGAGCTGTGA